TTTTTTTTTTTTTCAGGCGAGATTTTACATCAAGAAGCAGCCCACCGACAGTCACACACACACACACACACACACACATACAGGAAGCAGCTTCCGTTGACTAATGTTGCAGATGGAACCGGCGATAGGTGAGACTGACGAAGACGAACGCGTGCAGTGTGACTGATATTATAAAATGATATTGCACGAGCGGAGCGGATCATTGTCTTCTGATTGATGCCGAGGCGCGGCAGCCGCCCGTAATACAGTGAGTGGTTTATTTTGACAATAATGCCCCCCCGGTACTTACTTGATTATTGCAGTTTCTCCCGTGAAATAGTGGGGGCACCTGCCGCGCTTACTTCTCCTGCTATGCATCACTGCTTCCCGTGCGGCGTGTTAAGCTGCTCAGAGTTGCCCAAGTAACTTTGGGCAGCTGTCCCAAAACAGGATGGAAATCGTACGTCGCCTTGGACAAGTCAGCAACCTGCTGTTGAATTGCCAAGATCGCTCGTACAGTTGATGCAGAGCGCCAGTGCCACTGAGCTGAACTGTGTAGGCGCTTTTACATTGGACTGCTCGCGCCGTCACCTCTACTTCAGATGACTGAAGATGGCATTTCAGGGTATTTCTCGAGTTACACAATCTCACAAATAGTTAAATGCACAAGAACCCCAACTGAAGATTCAGGCAGACAGCTCACTGGAAATGAATTGTCGTTGGAATACCAAATCGAGCTGGAACGAGGAAGGAATTCATACGCCCCATATGCTTGCGCTACTAGACTGTCAACCAGCAACGGAGATTTTTGGCGCGTTGCAAGCAGGCGAAAAGAAGCCGGAAAGCACCGGAGAGCTCGAGCAGCGCTTGCATTTCTTGGGGTTCAAAAATTCAAGCATTCAAGAGGAGCTGGATACTAAAACGAAAACCGAAAGTAATTGGTTGAAAGAGTTAGAAAATTAAACATCTTAGCAAGTGCCGGGGGGAAGAGACCCCATGCATCCAGGCGCCAGAACACTGCACCGATGGCCTCCGAATCCTAGTAGGCCTTGGGTGGAAATGACTGGAAATTTAAAAAGTACTTGAAAATCTGAGAAAGAAAATAAAAAAACTTGAATTATTGTTAGCAGTTCAGTATCGCATCTCAAGTAAAGAATGCTGCGAACAACCCCACCAACGGTTACTTAAATTTGTCTTTGTCCCATCGAGGATGAAAGTGGCGGAAAGGGGGCGAAAAGCTTTTGATTAACTTTGGAGAGCGAACGAGGAGCAGTGGTAAATGAGAATCATTTTCAGAGGCGAGCCACGCGAGCCAAAATTTCAAGCTGATGGCGGACGATCATCATGCATCTGAATGCACCAGTGTTGAGCAGGTTATTTCAGGCGGTTCAAAAAATTTCTTTGCAAATTTGCTCTTCTTAATAACTGCATGTCTGCAACATAAATTGTATCTAACAGTGCAAGCAGAATTGTGCCTCCTCATCCTCAAAATCGATGGGAATTTCTCGGCCTGGCTGGCGCCATACACGATTTGCCTCAAATATTTTTCCTATGACCGCGCGTGACCCCACCCCACCGTGGTGCATAGGTGAGATGGAGGTGAAGAAGCGGTCTGCGCGAGCTTCGTGCGCGGGTATTCGGGGCAGGAGGAGGGCTCTGGTAGGTGGGTTGGACGAACGCGTGACGTAGATCCCTAGTCGGTTGGCTCAGCCACGTGTATTTGGAAGTGGGAAAAGAGGGAAGGGGGTAATGGGTGGAAAAGGAGGAAGCGTGCTGTTGGTTTTTGCTACGGATACCCGGAGTAGTGAAAGGGCTGAAATATTGCTTGCTTCCACAGCACTTTTATAGAGCCCCCGATGTTGCCTTGCGGACACGACTTGATACAGAATAGGAAAGGGGGACGAGAATACAAGTCAGGAGCTCTAGGCAAGAACTGCAAATAGCAATAAAGGGACAGAGGCAACACAGCACTACAAGGAAAAATAAGTTGAAGCAAACCTGAACTTATGAAACGTATGAACGG